TGCCTTGAGAAAACTGGTATTAAATCTAGTTGATCTCATTATAGCAAAGGTAGAGACACGCGGTGTGTTGGTCAGGCTGGTCAGCTCCGTGTGAGAGAAACTCACCATCCCGTTAGGTTTTCTAAGGCAACTCACCATCCCCTTAGGCTTTCTGAGGCGGTGAAACTAGCCAGGACCCTCCATGAATAACTTGAGGTCTGCTTGGGGATCTAGGGACCCCATGCAATTATTTTAAATGAATAATTGATCTTGTTAAATGTAGTAACCCAGGCAATAGTTTTCTGAAATGCACACATTGTGTTGTTATTCTATTTATTTGTTAATATTTGTTGACAGCCAGCTGTGTGCGAGGCTCTGCAGTGGAAGGTGCACGAACTCAGATTCCTGGAGGAGCCCTTTAGCTCTCTAATCACTTCCCCCTTTGGAAGTTTGCACTCTGTAAAATGTGGCTGGGGGAGACAGAACCTATGTGTGTTATGAAAATCGCCTGGGGAAGGGATTTTAGAAATTACTGAGGACCCTTTAGATTTGAGACTGTCTATAGGCCCTTTCCCCTCCTGCCCCTTCCTGCCTGATAGTGAGCCTCTATTCACCACCGGATCCCTGTCCCCTCATCTCACTCAGGTATGTGGCCAGAGCCAAAACGGAAAGCCACTGAATCAAGTATCTATCTTTCCCTTGGCTCAGATGAAGCCTCTTTCCACATTTTAAAGAGCGCTTTGGACAGGGGCCTGTGGTCACTCTGTTGGCTTTGCCCATGTTGGCCTTTCTTGTCATAAAGAAATGGGACTCCTGCTAAGTTTGTGATACCTTGAATTTTCCTTTTTTTTTTTTTTTTTTGAGACAGAGAGTCGCTCTTGTCTCCCAGGCTGGAGTGCAGTGGCACAATCTTGGCTCACTGTAGCCTCCGCCTCCCAGGTTTAAGCAATTCTCCTGCCTCAGCCTCCTGAGTAGCTGGGATTACAGGTGCCTACCACCATACCTGGCAAAGTTTTGTATTTTTAGTAGAGATGGGGTTTTGCCATGTTGGCCAGGCTGGTCTCGAACTCCTGACCTCAGGTGATCCGCCCACCTTGGCCTCCCAAAGTGCTGGGATCACCAGCGTGAGCCACCACACCCAGCCGAATTTTCCATTTTGAAGAGGCAAGAAGGACTTTGTTTAGTTTTGTGTATTTGTCTGTTTGTCCAGGAAGACCATGGAGAATTAGGCGCTTGGTTTTGTTTTGTTTCTGTTTCGGTTTATAGCTCCATTATCAGTTTACTATTCCCTTTTGATAAGCAAGAAAGAGCGGAGTTGACAAAGAATGTCTGTGGATGAGAAACAGAAGGTGTGTGAGGTTCTTTGTCATGATGGATTCAAAGTATTTTTATCCCAAAGGCAAGACTAATTTATTTCAGCAAAATATCTAAATTTAAGCTCGGTCCTGTTTTCATTAAATGAAGATTTTTGAGAATTAACTGCTTGTTTTGTAATTTTCATAAATTTCGTTTGGGCATACTTAATCGTCTGTTGCTATTGCTGAAGGCATTTGATAGTCGTACACCTGATGCGATCAAAGGAGAGATGAGCATACATTTTAATTTGTTCCTGTTGAGCATACGTTTTAATTGTTCTTATGAATGTCGGAGTTATGGAAGATCCAAAGAAGTACTCTGTAGATAGAATACACTGTCCTGGTCCCCTAAGCTTAGAATCTTACTTATTTTCCCATTTCATGAGATTGACCTTTCAGATGAGGACGAACTGCATACAAATTGCTTTATTTCAAGTAATATCCACCATGTTATTTTTGAAAGAGTTCTTTTGTCCTTTTTACCCTAACTGTCAGAGAAGATGAGAAAAATGACGGCGGTGATAAGAGAGTGTCTTTTAACACCTAGCATGTTGGGTGTGTTGGGTGAGAGGGTAGGAATGAAAGGCTGTTGGAAAGTGGGGGCTGGGGGATGGGGTGGTGAAAAAGGAAGGTAAGAATGGTGCCTCCTGGATTCTTGAATGGGAGAGAGTGAAGAGATCCTCAGGCAGGTAGATTTTTCTGTCTTTACACAAATGCCATTGAAGGAGTTTTAGAGGTCGGAGGGGCAAGTAGAAGTTGGTTAGGCGATTAGTAGTAACTCAAGGACCAGTTGAAAGACTGGAGGACCCTCCGCTTCTGACTTTGGGGTTAGAGCTTTTTTTTTTTGAGACGGAGTTTCACTCATGTTACCCAGGCTGGAGTGCAATGGCGCGATCTCGGCTCACCGCAACCTCTGCCTCCTGGGTCCAGGCAATTCTCCTGCCTCAGCCTCCTGAGTAGCTGGGATTACAGGCACGCACCACCGTGCCCAGCTGATTTTTTAGTATTTTTAGTAGAGACGGGGTTTCACCATGTTGACCAGGATGGTCTCGATCTCTTGACCTCGTGATCCCCCCGCCTGGGCCTCCCAAAGTGCTGGGATTACAGGCGTGAGCCACCGCGCCCGGCCGGGTTAGCGCCTTTTATCGTGGGGATGATAAAGACGGATGGGCTTTCTGCTACGAGGATACTCGAAGTCGTGAGTAGCCACCTTAGAGGTGCAGTGATGTTGCTGCCTCATGACATTTAGGTTAACAATGGAGCACACACATGACTGTGGTCCCAGAAGATCATATCATACTTTTACTGTACCTTTTTCTGTATACAAGTACTTGCCATTGTGCTCCAGCTGGCGCACAGTCCTCAGGGCGGGAACCTGCAGTGCATGTGTGCAGTCTCAGAGCCACCGGCCACACCATCAGCCTGGGTGTGTAGGAGGCCACACCGTCTAGGTTTGTGCGAGGACACTCTGTGATGTTCACACAATGACAGAATTGCTTAATGGTGCATTTCGCAGAATGTATAACTGTATTGGTGCGGACGCATCGTTTGGGGATGGGAAAATGCATACCCACTATGTGAGGTCCTCAACTAAATCTGCAGTTGTCTTTGGAGGTAACCATGGACTCCCAGTTGATAAAATTTATCAGAAATACTGTAATAGCTCTCTTAGGCCCTTCTCCCCCACACTGACTTTCCTTGGTACTGTTTTTATTTTATTTTTAAATTCTTAATACATAACAGATGTACATATTTTCAGGGCACATGTAATGATTTAATGCATTCATAGAATTTGTAAGGATAAATCAATGTAATTGTGCTATGCAGATTATGGGAGGTAAATATGGAATCGGGGAATAGAATGGGCTGATAATGTGTTTTCCTAAAGAACAGACGGGACAAGTTACAACTGAACTATGAATTCCATAACTGGGTAGTGTAGGTCACTGATTTGGGCACTCAGAACTCCACAGTGGCTGCAGTTGGGATTCTACATTGAAATAAACTTTCTGGAATTTACCTTGGTGCTATATACTTAAAGGCTTAAAAATGTTAAGCTCTCTGTTCCAGTAATTCTGCTTCTTGGAACCGACTTATGTGAAGAAACCAGAGATGAGAAGAAAGATTTATGTACAAGGATGTTTATTGAATTAGCTTTTGTTATGCAAAAACTTGGAAACACCCTAAATATCCAACAATGGGGACACACTTGAACAAATAATGGCACATCCAGACAGGACAGGTAGCTTATGAAGCTCATGTTTTCAAGCAACTGTTAGTGATGTGAAAATATTTATGATCTGTGTTGGTTGGGTGGGGAAAAAAGGATATGAAATTGTGCTTCTCATTTTATTTTAAAAACATATGTGTATATTGTGTATTTAAAAAAACCTGGAAGAAAACATATCTTTTTGATAGTAGAATTGTGGGTGTTCAGCTTGAAACATTTTTGTATTTTCCAAATTTAAAACAGCAAGCACAATTACCAGTTACCCTTTTAACCAAAGAATATTCTCAAGACAGTGCTAATAGGTGGTCTCTGCCCTCACGTCTGGTCCATGAGGTTAGAAAGATGCACTGGGCGCTGCTGAGGAGGAGGCTGTGCGGGGGCTGGGCCATCCTCCAACCTTCCACCTCCACCTGTGGACCAGGCTCTAGAGCTAGTGCTGACCTAGCCAGGGCTGGGAGGTGCCCTTGTCCTCAGACAGCTGTGGCTCCTTGGTGAGGCTGGGATGTCCTGTTTTGTCAGGAACTGTGAAGGGCTTGAGACGTGATCTCACTTTACAGTTAACGTTCCTTGTCCATATGAATACTGCAGAAATACAGAACTCCTGGGCAGGATAAAAGACTTCCTTGTTGATATTTACAACCAGGGCAACAGCCGGAGTGAGACTGCTGTGCCAGGCCCCTAAACCTTGACCCTTAGGTGATGCCGAAAACTAATGAAATGTAGGTGTGGGCTACACGTTGTAGACAGGGACAGCTGCTCTGTCCAAAAGGAGAGAGAGAAGAAAAAAGGAGAACAAAAAGGAGAAAAATAAAAACCTTAGCTCCCCTGACATGGAATGAAAAAGTTCTGGGGATCTTATCCTAACCTTTTAGAATGGGAGACGCTTATGACCTGGGGATGTCTCAAAGTCTGGTTTTCATCCCTTTTGAAATGCACATCCTTACAGAGCTAGGTCTTCCCAGTGTCTTGGGAATCGGTTGGGGCTGAAACTCTTTGGTCCTCTTGAGGACATGAGAGGTTTTGTTCTCCTTTTGGAAAAGAGCATTTAATGTACACAAATGGCTACAGATCTAATGCTCATGGTAAGTGAAGTGGCAGATGTTTGTAGGGGAAGTGACAGTGAGTCTTTCCTATCTTCAGGTCCTATTCGGTCCCTGTGTTCATGTCTGTACACTCCCTCTTCAGATCCGATGTGGCTTCTGTCGTCATATGCCATACATCCCCTACCTTCATGTCATATATGGTCCCTATCTTCATCTCCTATTTAGTCCCCATCTTCATGTCCTAAACATTCCCTGTCTTCATGTCCTAAATGGTTTCTATCTTCACATCCTATATATTATCTTCATGTCCTGATTTTATATCATATGCATTCCCTGTCTTCATATCATACACATTCCCTGTCTTCATGTCCTGTCTTCATATCATACACATTCCCTGTCTTCATGTCCTAAATGGTTTCTATCTTCACATCCTATATATTCTTTATCTTCATGTCCTGACTTCATATCATACGCATTCCCTGTCTTCATGTCCTGTCTTCATATCATACACATTCCCTGTCTTCATGTCCTGTCTTCATATCATACACATTCCCTGTCTTCATATCATATACATTCCCTGTCTTCATGTCCTAAATGGTTTCTATCTTCACATCCTATATATTCTTTATCTTCATGTCCTGACTTCATATATGCATTCCCTGTCTTCATATCATACACATTCCCTGTCTTCATGTCCTGTCTTCATATCATACACATTCCCTGTCTTCATGTCCTGTCTTCATATCATACACATTCTCTGTCTTCATGTCCTGTCTTCATATCATACACATTCCCTGTCTTCATGTCCTGTCTTCATATCATACACATTCCCTGTCTTCATGTCCTAAATGGTTTCTATCTTCACATCCTATATATTCTTTATCTTCATGTCCTGACTTCATATCATACGCATTCCCTGTCTTCATGTCCTGTCTTCATGTCATACACATTCCCTGTCTTCATGTCCTGTCTTCATGTCATACACATTCCCTGTCTTCATGTCCTGACTTCATATCATACACATTCCCTGTCTTCATGTCCTGTATATTCTTTCCCTTTGTGTTGTATTCATTTCTGTATCTTAGCGGGGGCGAAGGGATTTTATAGGAGCTCTGGGGAGTCTGGAAAGAAGTCTGGGAAGTTTTATTTTCCCACACACCTGCCTTTACAAGACCCCTGCTGGAGAACGACAGTAGAACTTAATCAGAGTGTGACCTCTGACTTTTCACAACTGAAGACCTCAAATCTCCAATTTTCATCTGAAAAAAATATTAGAACAGTTTCACTCTCTTTGTGAACATGGAAAGGTTTTTAGATGGCTATGGAAGCAGGATTGGGTGTAACCATTATGAGTTTAGAGGCTGAATGCCGTAGCACATCCCCCCACCAAAGAATACATACCAACATACACACAACATCGTCCAACACAAACATAATGTGAGCGCATGTATAGCTTTAGTGTCCTAGTAGCCACTAGAAAAGTAAAAAGTAGGTAAAATGACTTGTAACAATGTATCTCATTTAACTCATTTTATCTAAAATATTTCAGTATGTCATTAATGTAAAGATATTAATGAGATATTTTGCATTCTTTTTTCATAACGAGTACATAAAATCTGATGTGTCCTTTACAACTATAGCACGTCTTAATTCAGCCTAGCCACATTCCAAGTGCACAGTAGACCCATGTGCCTGGCGGCCTCCATCCTGGTTGGTGCACCACAGGGCGTGAATCAAGGTGGGAAGAGAATACAGAGAGAAAGTTTTAGTACAGGGAATAACCCTAGGAGGACTGAAGGAGAGCGGAGCTGGAGTGGTTGTTTCGGTCATAACTGCATGAATCTCCTTGTGCCTCTCCGCACAAACCATACCTAATCTCTTCAGCCTAAAACAGTGAAATGCTCTGAATTTCTATAGAAGCAGCATACTCTATGTCCCATTGCTAGGGCAGTTAGCTCTCTGCATCTTGATGAGATCAATGTTTTCTAGACTCTTGAACTGTTACGAAAATCTTTGATTATTTGGGTTTTTCCATTTGTATCACCTATGCGGTGAGCTGTTAGAGAACCAGGATCCAGCCTGATTTCTTTACCTTCCTCACCAGTGTTTGTTTGATACCTTTAAGAACTAGAAAAATATTTGTTGATTCGATTTTCACCTGTAAAGCAGAGGTTGGCTTGGAAGGCTGAATTCCAGCTCAGGAAGGATGGCACAGATCTAGTTTGTACTGAGAACCTAGTGGTATATGAATTGAACACACAAACATTAGGATTGGTCACTTTGCATTAGGATTTGTCACTTTATTTTAGGGGTTCCACACCCAGAAGGTGAAAAATTGTTTGGTTTTTCTCCTTTGTATCCAGTCCTTTGAAAAATCTCGTAAGTTCATTCCTTTGATGTTTAAGTTCCAATGATGGTACTAATACCTTCTTGTATGTATAAATAAGCTATATTTGGTGATGAACTGGAGATAAACATTTGGAAGCTGCTACTTTTCCCACGGGTTCTTTGTTAATAATAACTTTGTTATTAACAAACACAGCCCATAACAACTATGCAGTGAAATTCTTTTGAAATCAAGTATAGTATTTTACAGTTGCCTTCATTTGTTCTTTGACTGTAATTGTTGGGTTGAAGCAACAGACTTATCCGGAGGGCCAAGGCAATTTATTTTTACTGAAGCCTACCTAAGAACTGCTTAGGTAGCTTTTCTCTGCAAGATTAAATGCGACCTTCACGGAACCATGTTAGCAGGGCCAGCAGCTAGAAAAATAAAGACTAAACCAAACCTTCAGCATCGAAATTCCCAGCTGCTCAGCGGCTCAGAGCTTTCCTGATTGCTTTCTTCCAATGAAAACACTGTAGATTAGTTTTAAGTGAATTCCAGTAGGTTTGGGGATTTGCAACTGACAGAAGAACAGCAAAGCATAATCTCACTTTAAAATAATAGTCCTGAAGGTAAATCTTTATTGGCTCTTTCTTGGGATGCTGGGATTTTTGTTCATATGGGAAAACTCAACTCATACACACTGTTTAGCCGACCTTTGAAGGTAAGGCCCTCAGTGTAGGAAGGAAGAAAGGGGACAGAGGAGGCAGATGGCGGCTGGACACCTGGGATTGTGTGGCAGGCCTGCTGCTCCCCTTTCTTCTCTCCGTTGTGGCGGGGTGGAAACTTGGGGAGCCTGTGAGGAAGGCCTCTGTAGGGAATGTAGACCACCTGCTCTTTTCACTATTGGGTGCCGTCATCCTGACGATTGGTGAAGTCAGGGTGAATTGAAAATGTTATAGGAGAGGATTTACTTCTCTTACAGGTGCTTTTGATGCATTACATATTTTTCTTTCTTGCAAGTCATTGCAATTAGGAGATGGGGGTAGAGGAGAGCTTAGCTGAAAGAGTTGACTCTTTTGATCATTCATCCTTTCAGTCATTCATTTAGCAGGTGTTTTTTCAGTGCTATCCATATGCAGAGGGAGCTATAAAACAAAAGAAAAGTCATCAGCTTGGATTTGAGTCAGCCAGGTAGGTAGATGGGCTGCATTCCTCAGAGTTAGCAGCCTAATTTATCCAGATGGAGAAAACGCAGTCCGGCAACTAGGCAGGTAAGATGATGGCTCCAGAAGCAATTTCAGTTACTTGTGAATCCCTTTCAGAGTTCTTCCATGGACCCCGTGGGGTTGTCTCAGAGTGTAGGGGAAGCCACGGTGGTAATGTGAGAGATTTTTTTGCCAAGTGTATACATTTTATTAAAAAAAAAAACACGGATTCTGAATAGACTGTAAAATAGGCATAAAACAACAACGCATTCTTTTGTTGTTCTTGCTGTTTCTCCGCAATTCTCCCACACAGAGTTTGGAACGTGGAACTGTGGCCTGGTGTCTTTGGTCATTCAGGAAGACTGATGGGCTGAATCCTGCTAATTATCTCCCTCTCTGCTTCCCCTTCCCTGGACTGCAGGACTGCAGAATCAGTTCTGCTGCCCTCCACGGTAAAGTGAAGGAAGCTGATGGCACTCTTGGCACTACTTTTGAAAATTTTCTGTGAATTTGAAATAATTTCAAGATAAAAAGGTTTTTTTAAGGCTTCCCATTAGTGCTTAGAGTTACTGTCGCTTATTTAAAGTAACAGCTTAATAGAGTATATTTGTAAGTTTCTTTGATCCCCCACATCAATCTAAAAGGGATTTTTTGTAGGTCTTTTTCTAGGTAGGTCCTACTTCAGTATCATTTAGAACCCTCTGCCAACAGGGCTTGAGGGGACATCACCTTGAAGGGGAAACTGGCCCTTACTTAGTTTTGAAAATGCCTCATTTTCTGTCTCTCTCTCTCTCTCTCTCTGTGTGTGTGTGTGTGTGTGTGTGTGTGTGTGGCCCCAGTGAATACTTTAAGTTGCCTGAAATTAAAGAATAATTGTTATCCATAAAAGCACTGAAGGAAACAATGACAGCAAGTAGGGAATTCATAAATGCATATTAAAGCATTCATTGTGGTGAAATTTACGTAGCAAAATGTACCATTATAATCATCTTAAAGCGTATAATTTGGTGACATTAATCACATTCACAGTGTTGCCTGAGCAGCACCACTGTCCATTTCCAGAACTTTTTCCATACCTGGATCAGAATCTCTATACCCATTAAACAATCACTCTGCTTCCCGCAGCCCCTGGCAGCCACCATGCTTTCTGTCTGTGAATTTGACCACTCGAGGTGTCTCATGTAAGTGGAATCATACAGTCTTTGTCTTTTGTGTCTGGCTTATTTCACTTAGCAGAACGTTTTCCAGGTGCATCCATGTTGTAGCATGATCAGAACCTCATTCCTCTTTAAGACTGAGTAATATTCCCACATTGTGTTCATCCATTCATCCGTTGACAGACCCTGGGATTCTTATTAATTTGGCTATTGTGAATAAGGCTGTTATGAAGATTTTATAAAAGTATGTTTGAGTCCCTGCTTTAAATTCTTTCAATTCTGTTGAATGCTGGGTCATACGGTCATCATATACTTAACCTGTGAAGAACCACAAATTGTTTTCGAGAGCTGTATCGTTTTACATCCCTGTCAGCAGTGCTCACAGGTTCCAGCTCCTCCACACCCTTTACCAGCATTTGTCTCAGTATCTTTTTTTTTTTTTTTTGATAGGGTCACCCTCGGAGGTATGAAGTTTTGATTTGTATTTTCCGGTAACTAATGGTGCTGAGCATCTTTTGATGTGCTGCTTGACTGTCTGCGTATCTTCTTAGGAGGAATGTGTATTCAAGGCCTTTCTTCATTTTTGATTTTGTTGCTGTTGTTGAGCTGTAGGTTCGAGTCGTTCTTTTTATGGTTTTGAAAATGACACACTAGTATGGTCTGAAGAACTAAGCAAGATTGTCCCCCATTACAGTACGTTGTAGCATGTGGCGAAAAGTTCTGTTTTTGAATTTTGAGACGCCGTAAAGCCAGTGAAGCACACTCTGGGGCATTAACTTATGCTGGAGTGAAGTAAATCAGTGTGCATGGGTAGGCGGGAAATCAGAAAGTACCTTCCCTTCTCACACCGTGCTGGAATTGGGAGTTTCTGTAGCAACTAGTGCTGGCCCCTTCCCTTTGTTCTTTTGGCTGGAGAAATCAAGTAACCTGCTCAATGTATTGTGACTAGGGTAAGTACTTAGTATGTTTTGTTGAACTGTGCAGTAAATAATTACTTTTTTTTCTGTTGCATTATAAATGCAGACATTTCTTGTGAGAGGAAAAACAGCAGTGCTTGAATATGGTAGTGAATTTATCATAGTGGCCGCCCTTGTGGTAACCTCTTGGCTTGGGACTCATGAAAAAGACCTTAGGGGTCATCACTTCTGTGGCGTTTCAGGATAAAGATTAGTAAAAGCAGCCTCAGAATAACATTTGGGGGCTTAAGAATTTAAATACAGTCCATTCAATAATGGTTCAATACTATTACTGAGTAGATGAAAAAAATGTCGCCATAATAACAGATCTGTTAAGTAAAATGAGTAAAAGCATTTATGTATTTATTGTGAATTACTGACAGAATGAGAGGCCATTCATTTGTTCTTACAAGAGCTATAGGAGATGAGGAAATCCAGTGACGGACACATCACAGCTATATGGTGGCAGATTCGTCGTTGGTTTAGTTTTATGTCCTGCAGAAGTTTTTCGTTTCACTCAATCCCTTTGAAAAGTTGAACTTTATTGAATAATACACCCTGGCAGGATCATGTGTGGATTGTAACTGAGTTGTACATAATTGGAAGAAGATGCATACTCTGTGCTGTGCCACAGAGTGGGAAGAGGAGTTGCAAACATTTGTATTCTCTTTAGGC